TTACTTCTCTCTCTCTCTCTCTCTCTCTCTCTCTCTCTCTCTCTCTCTCTCTCTCGTCGATTGTAAGAAAAACTTGTGATTTCAATCAGAAGTTTAGTGGTATAATTTGAATACTTGGTCGACGGTTTGTGTGATATATTCATCGGTTATTTTTCGTCGAGCGACGGAATCGTACGTTAAATCAATGGATTAGGGGCAAAGGAAGGATTATTAATTAATTTTCACGCGTGTTAAAACTTTTCCTTATATTATGTGCATCGAGTAATGGATTTCACAATGGTTAATCCCGATTATAACGGACGTATATAGTAATTAATATACTCGAGGATGAGAATAAAGGCAATTCGAGGCAATTTTCTTTTCAAAGAAAGCGTGCACGAGTTATAATTGTGTCCCCGGAATTCAAAAGACCGCAAAGAGTATAATCCCCGTTCTTTGTCCCAGAGTTATAAATTTTGTATCGTTGTTTCGATCAACGTGCAACAAATTTTCGCCGTAGCACGAAAGGAGTGAGAACGAAAGATTCATCGATCGCACGATTTAACCTTCGTTCTTTCTCCTTTCATCTCCTTTCTTTTTTCTTTTTTATGCTTCAACTTTTTAGAGATTAGCGCGTTCAATCGCTCGTACAGGTTTTAACGAGACACGGTAAATTTTAATCCACGCGTGGAGGAAACGTGAGCAAATAAATTTCCTGACTACGATTATTAATTAATTTTTTGAACTTTTTCAACGATGAAAAATCGTAATAAGAGAATTTTAATAGATGCTAAAAAGGGAGTGTAGTGAGTTGAAAACGAGCTTTCTTTTTTTTTTTTAAATAATTCACGTTGATGGAAATTGTCTTTGCAGATCGATGATTATTTGATGCCTTCAAAAAACGATCGGCATGAAGTACCTGAAAATCGTTCTGTTCACGTTCAACTTATTGATATGGGTAAAGTATATCAAAATCGATTAATTGTATGTCATTCGTTGTGCAAAAATCGATTCTATTTCTATATTATATCTAAAAAAAAAAAAAAAAGAAAAATGAAAATATGCCTTTACGCGTAACGTATGATGTATTTTCCAAAGAGCTTTGGTATTTTCTGATAAAGCGTAAACAAAGATAAACGCGCGTCGTAAAGTAAGAATGTATATCGTTGGCATATCACCTAGTAAAGTCAATCACCTAGAAAGTTCAGTAACAGTGAATAAACTAACTTATTGATTCCTAATAAAAATTGCATACGAGTTGCAGAAGTTGTGTAATTTTGATAAAGTGGAACGAAAACAAATTTTTCAAAGTGGAAATACGAGAAAAAGGTGAAAAAGGTATTGCCGATCGATCGAGTAATAATAGAAATTTTACGGCAATCGGATGATCCGGCATAACCGGTAATGGATCGATGTCGTTAAATCAGTTTGTTGAATCGCGAGTTTTCGACGAAGTAAAAGCTGATGCTGCTGATTTGCAACAGCACAGATGCAACTTAAGATAATCCTCGAATAACACGACATTTGTTTTACATGGACGGAGTTGAACATCGATGGAATAAAAGTATTTAAAAAAAAAAGAATTCGTTTAAAATGCAGCATTATTATTTCGTCCGTGTTGTTGAAAATATAAAATTTCCTTGCAATATATTGCGTACGATATAATTTTTAGTTTTGTTTGCACTTTTGTTTTTCGAAAATAATTGAATTGTATTAATATTATTTTAAAACTTTACTTCAAAATAAATCGAAGTAAAATAATTGTTTTTATTTCAAATAGAATATCTGCATGTTTGTCACATGAATATTTTTAAATAAGCATGATATTTTCACTGAATAATTTTTACAAACAATGAAATAATTATTACGTTTATGCAAATGTTAAGTTTTTTTTTTGTACGAAAACAATCGAGGTATTCTCCAGAGCGCAAGAATATTCCATCTATATTCTCTCCGAGTATATATCTGGTATAATTTTGTTTTGAGATGTTTCAAATTGAAACTTTCTCGTGTATATATATATATATTTGTATGAATTGTATATGTGAATATCAAATGTGGGGTAATTTGCAACACTACAATTTAATTTCACGTAGATAAAAACTTTCGCCCCAACGACGAAAACTTCTGCAATTCTATAGCAATTATATACCATTTAAATACGTTATCACTGAAACGTACGAGGTACCTTATGTAATTGGATCGAGATACCACTCTAGAACGGTTAAAAATATAAAAGGAAAGCGAAGCGAAGAGAAATTGCTTTACATTTTCTATCTTCCAATTTAATGTCTTCATATCGCTAGCAAGATCGTTCTAAATAATATTTTTTCAAAAACAAATACATTGTCCATTTTACATTAAAATTTGATAAAAATCTATTAAAATTACAAAAATTTTAAACCGCTATAATTTCGAAGATGATAACTTCTAGTCGATAAACGAGCGATCAATGGAAGCATGGAACCTTGCCCTTTAAAATGCCTTTTCATTCATTCCGATACGACTTCCGGTTCCCGAGATATTATCGTGTAAAGAAAAGATAATTTTTTAATCATTTAATTCGATTGAATCCTATTAAAATTAGAAAAACTTTGAACCGCTATAACTCCGAAGATAATGACTTCTTATCGATAAATAGGGTACGGTTGGAAGCGCGAAATCTTCCCCTTTAAAACGCTTTTTTATTTATTTCGATACGACTTCCGATTCTCGAGATATCGTCGTGCAAAGAAAAGAGTAATTTTTAATCGTTTAGTATCTCCGTTCTTACTTCTTACTCGGATCTTTCGTTCGCATTTCGTCTCGCTGATCTATCCCAATCTGCAGACAAGAAACACGACTGAAGAACGTAATACGCATTTTCAAGAAAAATAAAATAGATCGATAGGTCGCGTACTCATTCATAACTTCGACGTTATCTTAAGTACATACTTAAAGCTTTATATCTCGGGAACCGATTGAGATATCGGGACGAAACAAACAACGGTTTCAAGGGCACGATTTCCTCTATCTTTCGAATGTAATTCAACGATAAAAAAATGTTTACTTTACGAGTGATTTCAACGATCCATCGTCGAGCGATTATCTTAATTTTAATTTCCCTCTTCATTGCATAAAGTACCTCCGTATTAATAACTTCTCGAAAGTAAGCCGCATAAAAATGAAATTGCTCGATAGTTGGCCGGGTGTACGGTACTGATGATAGGAGCATGCTTGCTGCTGGAGCCAAGCAAAGGTCACCTGTTAAATCTCTTCGTGCACGATGCCACACCGCACGATACTATTAATCTGATAGCTTACAGTTTGCTCGGCCTCGGTTTCACCGTGTTGACAGTCGGTTTCTTTGGATGCCGCGCAGCTCTCCACGGAAGCCAGTGCATACTGGCCACCGTAAGTTATCGATAGATGTATCTCGCTCGTATCATATACACGGATATATAATAAGCTAGTAGTCAAGGCCCTACCACTCATACCGCTACGTTTTATCTGTGCAGTACATGAGCATGCTCGTGGCGCTGATCGTCACGGAGCTTGTCACCGCGGCTGCCGGCGGTATAATGACATTTCGAATACTTTCCGGATTGGAGGAGCGGCTAATCAGCAAATTAGCCGTCGGCTACGGCCACGAGCCGACCAGCGACATCCCTTTCAGCCACAGTCTCGACTTCGCCCAATACAAGGTTAATTAATTGCCGAGTTTAATAATAGCGATCGATTATTTATTTTAAGAGCGTTCTTACGTTATACGTATCAACAACATCGCGTACGATTGTGATTAAAAGGTGAATCGAAAAGGGTGATTCAAAAAAAAAAAATGTAAAAAACATTCGGTCCTCCATTATCAAAAAAAAGGGGACGAATTATATATTTCCTTGTTTCACGCACGTCACACGTTCATTTAGCACAATTCCAGTTTTTAGACTCCGGAAGCTGTATTTATTGCTGTAAAAAAAAAAAAAAGAAAAAATAGAAAAAGAAAAAATTGCCATCGTAATTAACGAAACGTTCCCACGCCATTAAGTTGTATTTGGAGATTCGCGGGATTCGTTTAATTGTTTAACTCAAAAGAGACGACGATTAACGACTCTTTTATGTTATTTTAACGTTCGATGCAACATTCGGTTGAATTTTCGAGAATAATAACGATCGAAAACCGCACGATGGAACGATTTTATCCCGAGCAATGTTTAATAAGCGCGCGTTGAGCCCTTTTTTTTTTTCTTTCTTTCTTTTTCCTTTCGGTCGAAAAAGCACACATCGACGATTTCATTGCAGTTTAATTGCTGCGGAATTCACGGATACGGGGATTACAATGGCACCGCGTGGTGGAGGGACGCGCAAATTTCGGGGAACAGGAGGCAGGTCCCCCTGACGTGCTGCGTTTTAAAAAATACAGAGGTATGGAATATTTATTGTTGTGTAAAGTTCGAAAACCAGTGCAAGATAATCGTGCAAGATTTTTAAACGGAGGTTTAAACAATTTTCTTCTTTTGTAATTTAGGAAAAATTTTAACAATTTTGAAATTTTTGTTGAAAGAGAAAAAGAGAGAATAGTTTTGGAAGTAGTTTTTTCTTCTCTTCTTAGAAAAATCGATCGTTCTCGAAATATTGGTGTATTGGTTGGCAGGTGAAAAATACGGGAAGCCCAATGAGCGTCGTGTCGAGAGTGTTCAACAAGCATGTGAGTAATTCGCATTTTGAAATTCATTCGTGCAATATTCTCGTAAGTTAAATCTTGATTTCCCTCGAAATAAGACGGAGAAACCGTGGCTGAATCCAAAGCCAAAGGACGAACTAGCCTGTCAAATAGAGGACAAAGAAGGTCACGATGGATATAGACATCAAGAGGTAAAACTTTATTATTTTCATATCTTAATTGTTTCCATTAGTTGGTTAAACAATTTCGACAGCGTTATCAATTTTATTTATTTTTTTGAATCAAGTTGTACAACGATATACTTATGTAACAAAGGAAAACGATATTTATCGATCTTACACGGAGAGGTCGTTGACAGCCGAAGGATACTTATCTCCCTCGCGCTTTGCATATTTATGAGATTCTGTGTATATATGTATAACGGGAAAGGATCAATTTATTGGATTGGTAAATGAAGGTTTGAATTGGAACGCTCCATTTGTCGAACGACTTACTTGTAATTAATTAAATTATGGAAATTACCGACAACCAGTTTTCCCTCTCTAAAATAGTTTTCAATTCAATTAGCTTCGTAAAATCTAAATGTAGAAGAAGAAGAAAAAGAAGAAAAGAGATAACAGTAATTTAATTCATTTTTATATTCTAAAGGGAAAAAAATATCGCTCGAGAGATTGTGAAATTAATTCGTTTTTTTTTCTTTTTTTTTTTTTTTGTTCACTTTTCGAGCAAAAAAACATTCTTTTTCCTTCTTTATTTTAATTGTAACCGCGTAAATACGTTCGCAGGGCTGCCTCCTCAAAGTTACAAGTTGGCTGCAATGCGAGAGCTTCACATTGGTATTCCTGGGGATGGCGATGGCTGGGATACAAGTACGTATATCCCATCGAATTTACCCGGAGAATTCGCTTGTCTCTGAAATCTAATCACGTACGTTACCCTATGTATGTTTCAGACATTTGGTATAATAACCTCGGCTTTTCTTTGCCGAACGATAAGGGAGATGCAAGTGGATTGAAACTCTTGGGATAGCAAGAGCACAAAAGAAGGGAGGGAAGCCAATTTCCAGACTATCTGGTTTTCGAGGAGATCAAACGACGCATTATTCTGATGTTTCATCCGTTCACTTTCGACGATTCTGCGATGGAAATATTCGTTCGAGGGAACAACGATGCATACGTGATAATAATAACATGGATATTTCGAGCAGATTTCGCAAAGCCGCGTTTACATTGAAACACAACATTTCCATTCAATCGATCAATTCTTAAAAATGAAATTTGTCACATTTGGATCACCAAAAAAAAAAAATAGCCTAAATGTAAACGTTGCTTAAGAGATTGTCGAGTCTCTTTGAAACGAATCTCTTTTTTTTTTTATTATTTTTTAAGAACACTCAATGATCGTGGAATTTATATCGTATAGATTGAAAACTGTGCTTGCTCGGAACCTTCCAGCCCATTCCCGTCCCTTGTATGTGTGTTTCGTTACAAAATATCGTGACGAAACGGGTAAAAGATGTCTACATAAATTCTGTACATAAAAATGTTATTCCACTCGTGTTCGCTCTGAATACGAGAACACGCTACGATTCTCAAACCGATCATTTGAGACGGAATGACTATATGATTCGTCATATTCGAATAATGTCGAAACTGAAAGAATTATTAATTCAAATTACTCGAGTGTCCGAATGTTTATATGTGAATATCTCGTGGAACGGTCGAGAACGTCGAATCTAACGCCACTCGTGCTTCGGCTATCTTCGACCAACATCGGTTAAGTAGTCGAAGATGGCCGAAACACGATCGGCTTTTATCGGGTGTCGAATCGCCTCGATGGACGAAGCGTTGTATCGAAACGCGAGTCCGTTCAAAGAAGTTTTTATTCCGAAAGTTTTTGCACAATTTGAATAATTTGTTTGTTCGATTAACACTCGGGTACCAGTGAGTGATAGTTTGAAATAACAACACTGATCGAAAAGTTCCGATATATTCTTGCGTTCACGAGATAAAAACGTACCAAACGTCGCAGTGAACCAAAGTTTGAATTACGGGTGGATCTGTAAATATGTATCGCGCAACAACGACGAGAAACGTTGAGATGAAAGTTCGAGTTCGATGAAACAATGAACACAATCGACAGATTTGTCGTTTTTCTTCCCTTTTTCTCGCGGGATATGCGATATGCAATTTTTCACACGAGACTCACGCGATTTATACGATACATTGGCAAGCGTATATGTTCGAAACTACTTTGCGATTTTTTACCGAAGAACAAAAAATATACCGTCGAAGAGTGAATGTACGCAATATCGATGTATACATGTGTGTGATAGAAATTTGTGTAGTTGACGTAACGACAAGAAAAGCTTAAGAAAAAAAAGTTGACGCGCATCGAAATAAAACGAAATGAAAGAAAAAGAAAAAAAAAACAACACATAACGTACTCTTCATCATAGTGTTCGCAATGTCGAGAGAAAGAAAACATTTTTACGTTGGATAATTGTTACAAAAGAGGAAAAAAGAAAAGAAATATATCTGTTACAATAATTCGTGCCAAATAGATAATACGTATATACATATATATATACATACATACATACATACATATATATATATATATCTTGCGATGAGTGAATTTAACTTTGTTACATCTTTATTTTCTAACGAAATTTGTTGGAAAGTATTTCACGCGTGTAGTAAAAAAAAAAAGAAAAAAAATATATATATATAGTAGAAAAATAAAGTAATTGCTATCTGTAAATTGTGTTTATTATCATTGCATATGCAAAATTTCTTCGTCGTATCGTCGTGAAGAGGTGGAGAAAAAACAACACGTTCGCTTTTTGATTAATTTTTAATTTAAAAAAATCACTTTACACGCATGGATTACAAGTTTAAAAAAAAAAGTGTTTCGATGCAAGACGATTGGAATCGATCACACATTTCGATTCTACATTTTCACTCACGTAAAAAAACGCGTAAAATTTAAAATCTTACTACTTAACGAATATATATATATATATATATATATATATATATATATATATATATATTATATA